TGATTGTACATGATCGACTACTAAGCCCGGTTTACCTAAGGTTTAAATTAGTAATTACTATTGCCCATATGTTTATGTAGAATTAGGTACTATCGATTTTGATTATTTGCCGTGTTGCGCGTACATAGTGAGTCTGTTGTCGAACGAAAGAAATTTTTCTCGAATATATTGAAGAGTACCTTAAACTCCTCCAGTCTTTAGCTTATGCCATCGATATATAACATAGTGGTCAAAATACACCCCTTTTTAATAGACATCTATTCGATGACATCTAAACTGTAATGGATACATATAAAGTACTATAAAATCGGTTAAATTTTATAAAAAAAACATATTTTCGTGTTTGTAGTTGTTCTGAAAATTAATCATTCTATTTTATGTGGCTTTAGGGTCATCTGTAGGTACCTACAATAACTTAATATTATGACTTATGAGTAAGAAAATTGCCTAATTGGTAATACAGGAAAATTAATATTAAGATTTAAAAAAAGTACTTTAATTGAATTCTGGTTGTTTTGACTTGGAGGGTAATTTTATTAATTATTTATTATTTTAATTATATTTATTACTTTAATTCAGGTATGGGCTTTATAATTATATTGATTTATGTCGTTTTATTAATGCAGATCATCATGATTTAAGTCAAACATATAGACTGAAGTCATAAAACGACTTAAATACCGTTATATTGATTTAAGTCTATAAAAATGACTTGGAATAAAATGATTTAGGTCAAGAACTTAAGAGTCTATTACGCTGTACTGTTTGGGTCGCTCTCAGGGGTCGGGTAAAGCGGGTGTGTGGCCGAAAGAAATATATATTATTTTTCAGAAATTTGCCTATAAGACTTAGCCCAATCCTTTCGTGTTAAGACACACAAAATTCCAAACACACGTGCTTTGATTAAGGTTTGTAGAGCTTCAGCATTTGCCATAAAATAGCGAGCAATTTGTTACAAAACTTCAATCTATTTCCGTATTGTAACGGAATTTTAAATTATGTCTTTATTTTGAAGAAAATTTAGTCCAAACATAGAAAATATTTTGTTAATGTTTGACCTTCAAAATCTTAAAAATAAAGAATTTGTCTAAAAATGTGCTACAATACGGATATATAGTATATCCTTTATCTTTAATTTCCTTCTTCATTTGTGTAAAAATACCTAGCCAGTTTTACATAAAACGTTAAATGCCGAACGCTTATTTTGCTACTTTTTCGGACTATGAAATGGACTCTTAAATTATTTGAACTTTATATTGAATTTGACTTAAGAGTTAAATCATTTTGATTTTAGACATGAGAAGAATCACCCACCGAAGTTTTATACACTACTAGCGTGTACCCACGACTTCGTTCGCGTCGAATTAATCATTTGTAATGGTGATGATAAAGCAAACCAAGAATTTCTATTAACATACAGACTGGATAAAATGTTCTCACATTTGTCAGCATGAGAAAAAATAATATGGCGATATTGTTATATAACTTGGTAATATTTGAGGGGCAGTTTCATCTCGTGGGAATTTGACTTTCAAAAAATCCGTTTGCCAAAAATAAGCTTTTTACGTCAAGCAGTTTAAGCAGAATCGTGGTTAAGAAATTAACTAACTTTTTGGAACACCCTGTATGATTTTTTAAAAAAATTCAAAATATGTAAAAAAACAAAATAAATTATGCGTATCCAAGCGTTTTCCCGAAAGATTAACCGTTTTTTTAAATAACAAATATTGTAATATTTGAGGGGCGTTTTCATGCACCCTCTTGGAATTTGAGATTTGAGAAACCCCTCCTTATCGAACCTCTACACCCCACAGACAATCCGTTTGCCAAAAATCAGCTTTAAATCTCAAGCAATGTAAGCAGAATCGTGATTACTCAATGGTCATATTTTATGAAACGCTCTGTATAAATTTTTAAAAAATCTTAAAATATGTAAAACAACAAAATAAAATATACGTGTTTAAGATTTTTTCGAAAAACTCACCGGTTTTTAAATAAAAATATTCTAATATTTGAGGGGTGGTTTCACCCCATTAGAATTAGAGTTCCGAAAAATCCCTTCTTATCGAATTTCTACACCCTAAAGTCAATCCGTTTTCCAAAAATTAGCTTTTTACGTAAAGCGCTTTAAGCAAGATCGTGATTAATCAATGACCAGATTTTTCGAAACACCCTGTATATATTGCAAAAAAATCTTAAAATATGTAAAAAACAAAATAAAATATACGTGTTTAAGCGTTTTTTTCGGAAACTTGACCGTTTTTTAAATAAAAAATATTGTAATATTTGAGGGATGGTTTCACCCCCTTGGAACTGGAATTTCGAAAAATCCCTTCTTATCGAACCTCTACACCCTCGAATCAACCGGTATTCCAAAATTGAGTGGCATTGAGTGGCTTCTTACGTTGAGTGGTTTGAGCAGGATCGTGATTAATCAGTATGTCAGTCACTTAAGGATTTTATATATTAGTATAAATTTTTTTGACAATCTGATAGATTGTCTCTTGTATTTTACAGGACTAATTATTTTCTTCAAGCAATTTAATACTCTTATTCTCGCTGACAAAATAATCTTATTTGTTCGACGTTCAAGAAAATCCCTTTTTAATTACCTAAAGTAGAAAAGAAGAATGGTCTCTTTAAATATATGTAATCAACTTATTTATACTTCGAATCACAATGCTAAATTTAGCAATTGTAATAAAAACAAAAATAATATTATAATTATTCTAATATAATTATAATTAACAATTAATATTTAAAAATAGAGCTACTTGAGCTTCATTCAGAACCCCGCAATTAGTGGAATAAATTAGTGGTTTTAATTGCACTTTATACTTTTTAGTTTACGAGCATTCACAATGTTTAAAAAACACAATTAAAATTAATAAAATATCCTAGCAAGAGCTTGTGTTAGTCAGCTATATCCATAGAGAAAGAGCTTAATATTTAGCTTATAAAACAATCGACTTTTGATTTCTAACCACAATTTCTCTTGACGGAAGATAATCAAAGGCCAAAATGACATTTCTCGCAAATTTTGAAGTATAATTAGTGGAAAAGTCAAAAGTTTGTTAACTTTTTCCACTAATTGAAAATTACTACCACTAACGTTCTGAATGCTAACATTGAAATTAAAGGAACAAACTTCTACGCTAATTAAAATCACTAATTTATTACGCTAATTTGGGGGTCCGAATGAATCTTTTCCACTAATTATACTTCAAAATTAGCGAGAAATGTCATTTTGGCCTTTGATTATCTTCCGTCAACAGAAATTGTAGTTAGAAATCAAAAGTTAAAAGTTATAGGCTAAATATTAGGCTTTCTCTATGGATACAACTGACTAACGCAAGCTGCTGCTAGGATATTCTATTAATTTTGTGTTTTTTAAACATAGTGAATGATCGTAAACCAAAAAGTATAAAGTGTAGTTGAAACCACTAATTTATTTCACTAATTGCGAGGTTCTGAATGAAGCTTTACTTTTAACCTTCATCCAGAACCTCGCAATTAGTGGAATAAATTAATAGTTTCAGTTAGCGTAGAAGTTCCTTTAATTTCAATGTAAGCATTCAGAACGTAAAAATTAGTGACATTTTCAATTAGTAGAAAAAGTTATCAAACATTTAACTTTCCCACTAATTATTATACTTTAAAATTTGCAATAAATGTCATTTTGGCCTTTGATTATCTTCTGTCAAGAGTAATATTGTGGTTAGAAATCAAAAATTGATTGTTTTATAAGCTAAATATTAGGCTTTCTCTATGGATACAACTAACTAACGCAAGCTGTTGGTCGTGTATTCTATTGATTTTAATTGTTTTTTTTTACACATTGTGAATGATCAAAATAAAAACACTAAATCACCACCAAATCACTTTTACTTTTACACTGGACGCGCGTTTCGCTAACCATGTGAGCATCATCAGCAGATGATTAAGACTGTGGGTCTTAGTGTTTTTGTTTTGCTGTGTAACACCAAAGGTTCCAAACCCCAACTGTAATTTTGTGAATGATCGTAAACTAAAAAGTATAAAGTGTAATTGAAACCACTAATTGCGAAGTTCTGAATGAAGCTTTATTAAGTATTAAAACTAATAAAATAAATGAAAACGTAGTTACGACCACCAAAATTTATAAAATAAAAATAATTTTAAGTTTCAGACACGTAGAGGTGCTTGGCACGTTCACTAAGGAACGGTCAGTTTCTTACAATTTTATTTTTTTATATTTTTTCGTAAAATTGCTGAACTAGCGATGTCATCGCTCGTGAATTAATTTCGCTTCGCAATTTTATCGTCCTGTATAAAACAATATTTTTTCCATAGCGAGTTACGTTTTAAAAAATATTCAGAAATTATTATTTCAAGGAATTTATTACAAGTAGAAACAACATTGTTCTGGGTTGGCGTTGGTTTCTATGTAATTTGACAAATAAATAAAGTTGTCTCTTTAGTTGTCAGTTTTGAGTAAATATTTTTTAATTTTCTTTCGTGTCGATAGCTGATTGAATTGGAGCCAGAAATGGCTCAAAACGAAATAAGTAAATTACCAACAGATATTCAGGCTGAGGCGACAAACGCCATATCCAAACTACGTCCATTTAAATCCCGAATAACTTATGAAAGGGATTACAAAAATGGAAGCAATTAAAAAAACGTGCGAGAAGAAATAAAGTTTTTAACCTATCCTTGCTGTTATAATAGTATCATTTAATCTACCTCTGCGGTTAAAGTACTATTTTATCTACTATTCTTGATAGATATAAATATAAGGCAATTTTAACAGTTCCTGTGGAAAAAAATAATAAAAACAATGCCAATAAATTTATATTCACACTGATACCATAATCATAAAAATCGATTTACAAAATAAAAAGTTTAGGGTGGTGGAATTTTGTACCCGGGAGTATACTTTAAATTTATCGAAAACATTTTCCGTTGCATTTTTTTGCATCTGAGTGTAGAATATTTAAATTAAAAAGTATATACGTTAGTTACATCCATTAACCGTTTATTTAAAAATTTATAACATTATTTAACTGTTCTCTATTTGGAACCATCGGTATATTTTCCGTTATAAAAAGGTAAGTATTGTAGGACGGCTTTCCATTCGCAAATGTAGCAAATACTCAACAGCGAGGCGACACCGTACGCGGCAAAAGTTACTTTATAGTGGCTCATAGCTTCATATTGTTTCGGGCCAAATGTTCGAATGAACGCCGGATATTCACCTGTAAATAAAACAGATCGATATAAAAAAAAAATATTTATAGATAAAATATATTGTTATATGCATAATAAAATGGGCGGTTCTGATCTGATCGTTTTTTATGCATTTTTTTTAAATTTTAAAACATACAGGGTGGCGCACCTCATTCGGCTCGGTTGATTACACGAAAACCAGTGGCGTGTCGTATAAGAGGCCAGGGGGGCGAACGCCCCCTCCGCCCCTATGGGCTTAGCGGCTCTGGCGCCCTTTGAAAAAAAAATAGAAAAACTAAATTTAACGCAAAAACAAACGGTGCCGTACCGTGCCCTTAGCTCTTCATGATAAAAAAATGACGTATATATTTCCCACATTTTATTTTTCTTTTTTAATGTTTACTTATATTTAATAATTTAAATCTCTAATGAAGTAGGCATATATACTACGTACGAAAGTTTTCATATGGGTTTGAAACATGAAACTACGCTACCGTTAGACCATTTTCCATAAATAAAAATCTGTGATAAAAATACAATGGCTAGATTAACGTTGCGCCGGCACCGGCGCGACTCCACCAAAGAAAAAGAGAAGAGCAGTCGGAGAAAAATTTCGGGGAATCACCGACCGAAATATAATCGATTATAATGAAGTGCTGAATAAAATTAATATATTGTCCAATCACTTGCAAAAGTTTAATATCAACTTATGTACAGCTGCTCATATGATTACTGCAGTAATTATAGATCTCAAATCATTAAGAAGTGAAAAATATTTTGAAAATTTTAAAATACAGGTTACTATTTTGGCAAATAAATGCAATACGTCAACATCATTTTCCACAAAAAGATAAAGAATAAAAAAAAAAACATGATGAAATCCAAAATGATTACCTACATCAAAAATCTGAAGATAATTTCAAGATAATAATAGTGTTTTATGGAACTTTAGACATTTTAACTGGTACTCTAGAGAATCCTTAAGATATACCAAAAATTGAATTGTTTATTGGATATGGACCAATATGGATGGATATGGACGTCAATGATGGCAATTTAAAATGTCTTATGAATTGTTATGGATTATTCTTTAGTTGATGAATATAAACATTTTTGCAGTTTATTACAAGAAATTAATGCAATGACAACAAATTTGCACCTGACGAATATTTATCATTTTTAACTTCCAATGACCTAGAGTCTTCATATCCTTATGTGCATTACTGAGAATTTTTTACACTATAGCCACCAACAGTGCTGGTGCAGAAGGATCTTTCAGTAGATTAGGAAGAATTAATAAGTACCAGAGGATTATTTATCACTTCTCAGTATTGAAGCAGATACAGGCCAGGATCTAAACAACACGCTTGCATCTTTGAAATAACTGTTTTGTATACTAACTTTTTTAATAAACAAATTTATAATGTTTATGTAGTTTATTATTAAGTTTTCATGTAGTCTTATTATTTAAAAAAAGTTTGTAATTTATTTGATCCTTTATTGATCGTTGCGCCCCTTAAGGTCTTCGCCCCCTCCGTCCTTTTATCCACGACACGCTGCTGACGAAAACGGAAAGATGTAGAAACAAAATATTTTATGGGTATATGTGGGAAGGTAATGTGCACAATTTAAAATTATTTTGAAATGTACAGGGTGTTTCAGAACTAAGATCCATACCAAAGTTATATTTTTATCTTATGGTACACACACCCGGTATTTTATTTCATTTTTGGATTCTTGGGCCCAAAAAAAGGTATTTATTATAAGGGTAAAATATGTTTAAAATCTTTGGTTTTTGAGATATTGAAAGATATTTAAATTTGCATGCTACAATAAAATAGATTATTAACCACTTGTACATTTCTTTTCTCAGAATTAGTTCTTGTGCTGAGTTTAAAGGTAGAGAAAACTTTACAGAAAAATGTTATTCCTTCCTTAAATGTATACAGGGGTATCAAAAATTGCTGGTCTATTTTAAATATTTATTTTACATAAAAACTTCGTTATTTCAAATGCAAAACTATGTATTTTTTTAAATAAGTCGAAGCAGATTTAAATGCTCTTTCAAACTATATTAGGGTTTCCTATACCTATCTGGCTCAGATTTTGAATAAAAAGCGATTTTTCAATAAAATTGTAATCAAGATGGCTAGTGTGTTGTCATGGGAAGTTTCTAGTGACAGTTTGTAGTTATTTTCGAAATCGAAATTAGTTTATGGACTTATTTAAATTTATACCAGTTTACTTTTTATTTAATTTACCTACAGTAGTTTAATAAATAATATTTATTAAATATGTGTTTATTATTCGAAGAAGTAGTCTTTGAATTATTTTACGATGACTTGTAGATACATGGATTTTCTATAAAAGAGCCAATTACGGCAAATTCATTTTCTTCATTTCCAACGACAGGTTTCTGCCTAATAAGTTTACACACTACCAGGCGAAATAGGACAAGAAGTTTTTGAAAGAAATTCTTATAAGGAAGATTCCTATTTGGATATCTTTGAGCATAAGCCCTTGAGGCCAAGAAGCAATTTTCCTCACAAAATAATATCACTAGTAACATATCTATTCGTTCCGCCAGCAGATACTGCTTTATTTTTCTTGATAAAATAATGAATACTTACTTATATTAAACTATTGTAGGTAAATTTAAGTAAACTGTTATAAATTATAAATAATAATGTCCATAAACTAATTTCGACTTTGAAAATAGTTACTAACTGTCACTAGAAAATTGCCATGGCGACACCAGCCATCTTGATTAAAATTTTATTTAAAAATCGCTTTTTATTCAAAATCTGAGCTAGATAGGTATAGGAAACCCTATATAGTTTGAAAGAGCATTTGAATCTGCTTCGATTTATTTAAAAAAATACAGGGTGTTACATTTGAAATAGCAATGTTTTTATATAAAATATATCCTTAAAATAGATCAGTAACTTTTGATAACCCTGTATAAATTTAAGGAACCAATACCATTTTTCAGTAAAGTTTATTTCTCTACCATTAAACTCAGCATAAGAATTAATTCTGAAAAGTAATGTACAGGGTGTTATAGTCTATTCTATTGTAGCATGCAAATTTAAATATCTTTAAATACCCAAAAAACTAAAGATTTTAAACATATTTAACCCTTATAATAAATGCCTTTTTTTGGGCCCAAGAATCCAAAAATGAAATAAAATACCGGGTGTTCCATAAGAAAAAATAGAACTTTGGTATGGATCTTAGGTCTGAAACATCCTGTATATTTCAAAATAATTTTACATTGTGCATATTGTCTCTCCACATATACCCCTAAAATATTTTGTTTCTACATCTTTCCGTTTTCGTATAATCAACCGAGGCGAATGAGGTGCGTCACCCTGTATAAAATATATACCGGGTGGTGCATCGTGGTTGGAAACATGGGAAATCCCATGCACATTTTGAACTATCCAAATATTGGATCTCGTGCTAATTTTACAGGAATTTACTTACTCCTATTACAGCGAAGCCATAAATGTTTTTTTTTAAATGTCTTTGTATAACACATGCCAAATTTGAACAATTTTGGATATAGTGGCTCTTATTGGGATACAAACCTCGGAATTCATTTGCTGTGAACGAATTTTAATAAAACTTTTTGCATGGTATTGTTAATAAGATATATTACAAAGTTTACCCATTTAAATTCGTTGCTTTTGCTTTAGTATTTAAATAAACACACATATACAGGGTGGCGCCTCTCATACGCCGGCGCCGCGGAGGCTCCAAGGAGAACGACAGTTTGTATTGAAATGAAATTTTGTGAGCATATGTAGGTTAATTCAGAGCAGTTTTTAAAAATATAGAGAGTTCTACAGGACGTCCCCAAAAAAAGTTACGTATCAAAGTTGTGTTTTTTTGTAATGGAACACCCTATATATTAATTGATTTTCGGATTCTGGGAGAAAAATAAGGGTGAGTTTTACAAGAGAAGTATATGACTAAAATGTAAGGTTTTTGACATATTTAACATTTTCTAGAAATAAAGAACAATTTTTTAAATTACAATAAAAACTACCTAAATTGGAATTTACCTCGGTATAGCCTAATATATAGTTAAATTAACTAATGTACTTAAACCAAATTAAAACTTGATCCAAAAAGTTATACAGGGTGAGACAAAATTAATATTGAACATTGGTCACCTTTAAAAGCATGTTACTCATTTTAAATGGGTTATTACATTTTATATGGAACACCCAGTATATTATTCCGATATTCAATGGAGAATGCATGTCTCTTCAAAATACTATTAGGGTTGCCTACTCCTCAAACAAAGACTTTCCTAGATATTTTCGTTTACATGATTTGATCTGAGTAGATCATTTTGTGTCAGTTAAAACAAAAAAAATTCTCAGAAATTTGCCAAAAATTCAAACTTATCCTACATCAGAGAGAGTTGATATGATCCTATTAGTTTTGAATGCAGTATGCAATTCACCAATTAATAGAATACTTAAATGCTCCTGATTTTATCTAGTCTGTTTTTTTATGGGGATATGTTAAAGACGGTGTTTACAAAACTCGACCAACTATTGTCGACAACATGAAAGAAATTATTGTAGCTGCTTTTTGAGGTAGACTTCCACATATACCTTTTAAAATGAAAAGACCCTTTTGAAAAGACAATCATTTTATGCAGTTAACGGGAAAGGAAGCATTTTGAGCATTTGATTTCATCTAGCTAATTTTTGTCACATAATTATAGGTTTATGTCTAGTTTTAATTCTGTAATAATTAAAATATGTTTTAAATGTGTATCTTTTTATTTCCGTTGAGTATTTTACTCTACAATCTTTAATTTTTGTTAAATTAACAAAAGGTATACCACATAGCCACCTAGATTTTTTCAAATAATAAAGATCTAATGACGCAAAATCATAAAAATTAAAATATCTAGAAAATTTTTTGTCTGAGGGGTAGGCAACCTTAATAATATTTTGAAGATATATAAATTCCCCATTGAACACCGGAAAAATATACTGGGTGTTCCATT